TTAAAATATTTCGAGAATAACGATTGGAAAGAAGCATTTGAAAGTGTTCTACCTCAAAGAATAATATATAATTACGATACTCCTGATAATAACGATGTCAGCGATAACGATGACGAGAACGGCAACGACAACGACAACGATAATTAATCAGGAATAAACTCTAGACTTCGCGAAACTAATTAGTGTCTCAGAGACACCACAATCACCATCAATTGTATAGTTCTAATATATAGATAGAGGAAAAAAATTGTTTTGTAGAATAGTTTTTAAAGGAATAAACTACATATTGTATTAAGAACATTAACTAAATGAACTGTAATCTGTGACTGATAATGACTTTTTGTAGTCGAATGAAGAATTTTAATTTAACGTTTGCGTCACTGAATTGTATTCTTATAAATTAAACCATAATGACACAAAATATTAAATCTAACCTTTAATCGAATGTTATATCAACTACATCAAACCAGATCAAACCTTAAATTGATGGAAACTTATTGAAACCAAGGTTGTAAAGACCATAACTTTCCTTTATGTAAGTGTAGTATGGTTTTCTTTCCTTCTCTCTTTATCCCAACTCCTTCTTTCCATTTTTTGAAAATAATAGTTAATAATAATATATATACATATATATATTTTGCTTTAAGGAACAACTTGATAGATGAGTCCAAACGTATCAATATCAAACGATTCTTCGGAATATTCTGATCATCAAGTGGAGGTCCAATCGATTACTTCTCAATCTACAGAGAAAAATGGTAATGTCGTTGAGCAATGTGACGCAGTCGTTGATTCTGGAGAACAAGTTGATGAAGAGAATGACAAAGAAGTGAATGATTATTCTTTTAAAAATTGGTTTTTGAAAGGTAAGAGAAGTAGGACCAATTCCAATGTCAATTTAGAGGAAGCTATCGAATCTGTAGTTAGCGCTAGCAAGCCTGAAATCAACTCAACTGATTTGAAAAATAGTGCTTCATTTAGAAGAAGTTTTAGATCTTTATTTAAAAGAGAAACCGAGCCTATTACAATTGATAATGAAAAGTCCATTATAAGTGAAGTTGAAGAAGTAGAGGATTCTAAGATTGATCCACCAAGTATTGAAAAGGAACAACTTGTCGATGAACATCAACCAAACAGATTTTGGAGATCTTGGAGACATTCCCATCGCCATGGATCTGCTTCTGATTTAAGTTCAGTAAGAGATTTCGAGGAAGATGAGAATGTCAAAACTTTACGTAAAAGCCAATCAAGAGAAGAGCTAATACTCTCCAATGAAGCTAAACGGAAAAGAAATATGAAAAAATTAGAGCTTGAATTGATTAATGCTTCTCCTTCTAAAACAGAAAAAGTATTGAGTGACACTTCCCCAAGTCCAATTAATAATTTTATAGATTCAAATGCAAAAGAGCAACCTCAATATGAAATAAGTAGCAGTTCGAGTTCAATTGAAAGAGCAGCTGCAATTAAAGATAGATTGGGTTCAATTTTTTCAACAGAGTCTGCTGACGCCAGCAAAGAAGAAATATCTCCTCTGACACCATTAGAAGATGATGTGTTGGAAGGTGCTTATAAGCATGTATTCGAAACACCCAGAGAATACTCAAGTTTCACTTCAAATTTTGATTCACTATTTATTGATAGAAAATCCCATGTGTATAGTACCATTTCTGAGATATTGAAGCTCGTCGATGGGAGTGACACAACGATATTGAATCAAGATAGCCCTAAAGAATTGACGATAAGTCAAGTAACTGATGAAGTATTGAAATTTGTAAAAATGAAGATAGACATTGAATCAAAATTGATGGAAACTAAAAAAGCACTGGAGGAAGAAGTTAAATTAAGTGATAGAAAATTGAAAACTATTGAAACAAAACAATTTATGTCTGAAGAAAAGCTAAAGATTTTAGAGGTTCAATTAAAGACTCAAATTAATGCAAAGGAAAGTATTCTCGAAAAGGTATCACTACTCAATGATAAATTACTTGAATTAGAATTACCTTCTGATATTACTGATGCTGAAAACCCGAATTCATATTCACCAGATACTAAGATGTCTGACTTCAGCTTAGAGACAGTTTTGAATAATGCATCTTCGAATCCAGAACTAATGAAAAATTTCGATTCTCTATCAAATTTGATTAATAAATGCAAGAATTTAAAGAATAAATATAGAAATATCAAAATGGATAACGCACAATTGGTAAAGGAGTATGAAGAATTAACAAGAAGTTACAATGAATTATTTAAGTCAAATGAAGAACTACAAACAAAGATAAAGAACAATGAAGAAAGACTTCAAAGCTCAAATAAATCAAAAGAAGTTAATATTGATTCAACAAAATTACTATGTGCTGAAACGAATATTAGTAATTTAAAAATAGCAAATAAAAGGTTAACAGCAGATTATCAAAGAGAAAGAGCAAAATTATTAGATCTAAGAAGTAAAGAAAAACAAAGGGAAAGATATCTTCAAGTCTATGAAACTTATAGATCAGAGTCACTTCAATTCATGGTATACTTGATGCATTCTTTTAGATCGTTTATTTCTAATGACACATTGGATGAATACGACAGCTATATCAAAGCATTGAACAATTTTTCGTATACAAAGGATCACTATAGCAATGAAGAAATCGATAATAAGCTTAACGATTTTGTTAATAAGTTAACTGAATTTTTTCATAATGTTGCCAAAGCTAAATTTGTTGACCAGTTAATGGCAAAACATGTTTCTTACATGTTATCGAACGATTTTTTGAGCAAACAATTATATGGTTTAAGGAAACAAAATACAGACTATGAACAATTTGCAAAACATTTACTTGAGGAATTAAATACACTAAAAAGTAATCCACCCGGTAATATAAATAAGACTCAAAGTCAAAGCCATTGAATGAATAAAGTTTTAACTTCACTTGAAATTTTTGGATTTTTTCCTCCTGTCTGCCCTCATCTCCTTTATATTAGCTATTCATATAAACATTCACAATAAATATTACATATTTTCCAATCTTTAATTACAATCAATGGATATTATCAAGATTATACACTCAAATTTTACTCTGATATACCATTATGTAACAATGCTTGCCTTTTATGTTCAACTTATTTTAATTACTGACATTTTAAGTATTCTTCGATGAGAATATGACGCGTAAATGATTTTTTTTGAATTAATTTCTTTACGCGTTTTGATTTAATGAAACTATATAGGTTAAAAAAAACCATCGATTGAACTACTAAAAGGATTAGATTAGATTCTTAAAGGAATTGTTTAAAAGTCATATATAATCTGTAACTCGTTATCCTATAAAAGGTGTAGATATAATTTGTTGGTGTACTATAGGTGAGATAAAAGAAAAATCTGCTAAATGTCTGCTACAAGACCTGAATTAAAGTTCGCAGCAGTTTCAGAAGAACATGGGTTCTATCGAAGGTTTGTATCTTTACCAGAGAAGCCTGATACCACACTTAGAATAGTCGACCGAGGTGAATACTATACTGTTGTAGGTTCTGATGCTATATTTGTTGCTGAAAATGTTTACCATACCCAGTCCGTTTTAAAGAATTGTAATGTTGATCCTTCCGTTGCCAAAAGATTTAATCAACCTTTACAATATGTAACCATGTCTCCACAGGTAGTTAGTTCTTTATTAAAGACATGTCTAGTTGATTTGGCTTATAAAGTTGAAATATATGATAAATCCTGGAAAATGTTGAAAACTGCATCTCCTGGTAATATTGAACAAGTGAGCGATTTAATGAATATTAACGTTGATACTTCCATCGTCATTGCAGCAATAAAACCCCAATTAAACTCACAAGATGGGAATTGTTTGTTGGGTGTAACATTCATAGATACCAGTAATTACAAAATTGGTATGTTAGACATTGTAGATAATGAAGTATATTCAAATTTGGAAAGTTTCTTAATTCAACTGGGTGTCAGAGAATGTCTACTTCCAGATTTAACGAAGTCTGAAGGTAATATGAACGAAATAAAGAAAATTACTGGTGTTATCGATCGTTGTGGGTGTGTTGCGACTTTCGTTAGGAACTCTGATTTTTCTGATAAAGATAGTGAATCAGATTTAGCAAAGTTAATCGGTGATGAATTATCTATTTCTTTACCTCAAAAATTCTCAAAATTTGCATTATCATCATTTAATGCATTGGTACATTACTTAGAATTATTACAAGAGCAAGATCAATTAGGCAAATACGAATTAATTCAACATTCTTTAAAGGAACTAATGAAGTTAGACGCTTCTGCAATGAAGGCTTTAAATTTATTTCCAGCTACATCTTCACAATCAATTGTTCCATTATTAACAGCTGGGTACAGTAACAGCAATAGCTCTAAGGTAACCTCATTATTCCAGCTCCTGAACCACTGTAAAACTAATGCTGGTGTAAGATTACTGAATGAATGGATTAAACAACCATTGACAAGTTTAGCTGAGATCACCAAGAGGCATGATTTAGTTGAATACTTAATTGATCAGCTTGAATTAAGACAAATATTACAAACCGATTTCCTCCCAGTTGTACCAGATATTAGAAGAATAACTAAAAAATTAAACAAGAATGGTAATTTAGAAGATATTTTGAAACTTTACCAATTCTGTATCAAAATACCTGAAATTAGCAAAACTCTGGAATCATTCTTGGAAGATTCTCAAACAGATGAAAATATAAAAACATTAGTTAAGGAATCATGGTTGGATCCTATGTTATCCTATACCTCTCCTTTGTCTAAACTCCAAGAAATGGTAGAAACTACTGTTGATTTAGATGCTTATGAGGAACATAATGAATTTATGATTAAAGTTGAATTTAATGAAGAATTAGCAAAAATAAGACAAGAATTAGACATGATGAGGGACCAGATTCATACCGCTCATATCCAAGCATCTGAAGATTTAGGATTTGATCCTGATAAAAAATTAAAACTTGAAAACCATCACTTGCATGGCTGGTGTATGAGATTAACACGTAATGATGGTAAAGAATTGCGTAAACATGAGAAGTACATAGAACTTTCCACGGTAAAAGCGGGTATCTACTTTAGTACCTCAGAGCTAAGAGAAGTTGCCAGAGAGACATCTTTGCTACAGAAAGAATATGACAGACAACAATCTGCTTTAGTCAAAGAAATTGTTAATATCACATTGACATACACACCTGTTTTGGAAAAAATTTCGATTATTTTGGCTAACTTGGATGTAATTTGTTCATTTGCCCATGCCTCAAGTTATGCTGTGATTCCATATATTCGTCCAAAGATGTATGATATAGGTTCAGAAAGGAAGACTAGATTAATATCTTCCCGTCACCCAGTGTTAGAAATGCAAGACGATTTAACCTTTATTGCAAATGATGTTAATTTAGAAAAGGGAACATCCGACTTTTTAATCATTACAGGTCCTAATATGGGTGGTAAGTCCACATATATTAGACAAGTTGGTGTTATCACCTTAATGGCACAGATCGGATGTTTTGTTCCTTGCGATGAAGCTGACATTGCTATAGTAGATGCAATCTTATGTAGAGTTGGTGCTGGTGATTCTCAATTGAAAGGTGTTTCCACATTTATGGTTGAAATGTTAGAAACTGCATCAATATTGAAGAATGCCAGTACCAATTCCTTGATCATTATTGATGAATTAGGTCGTGGTACAAGTACATATGATGGGTTTGGTTTAGCTTGGGCTATTTCTGAATTTATTGCCAGTCAAATAAAATGTTTTGCCCTATTCGCTACACATTTCCATGAATTAACGTCATTATCAGATAAACTATCAAATGTGAAGAATATGCAAGTTGTTGCTCATATAGAACAAAATGCAGATAGCAATCAGGATAAGGATGATATTACTTTGTTGTACAAGGTGGAACCGGGCGTCTCAGATCAATCCTTTGGTATACATGTGGCAGAAGTTGTTCAATTTCCAGACAAAATTGTCAAAATGGCCAAGAGGAAAGTAGAAGAGTTAGAAGATTTAAAAGATGCAAATGAAAAGTTAAAGAAAACCAGGTTATCACCAAAAGAAATAAATGAAGGAAATAACGAATTAAAGAAGATATTAAAAGAATGGTCTGAGAAAATTAAACTGGAAGGTATTGAGATTACAAAGTTAACTGATCAAGATTGCCAACAAAGGATTACCGAACTATTGAAAAATGTTACCCAAGAATCAGAAAAAAACCATGGGGAATATTTAACTTTCATTAAGGAGATGCTTCTATAATGAACTGAATAAGTATTTTCATTTTTAATGCATTCATTATTGGTGTTCTAATTAATTTAATGAAATAAATTTATAGACATACTAATTGAACAATAATTTTAGTTTCATTGGCATACTCAGAGAATCATGTCTAAATCGAGAACTTTAAGTAGGAATTTACCGATATCGTGAACTGTTATAAGTAGTGGTATAGTTTAATTCATTTAATGACATTTTCAGGTTAATACATCCTGGAGTGTTTATTTCAGTAATGGTCACGGAAATAAAAGATATTATCACTAAACAATTTTGAGCTGTAAAAATATTACATTCAAACAATATATAATGAGTGATACCAAATAATACAATATCAATCGTTTCCACTATTTGAATAACCATCAATAGTTTAGTTCGATTAGTTACCTTCAATATCCATACTTCTCAGAATGAATATCATCGACTACGTCTCTCTTATTTTCATATCCGGTACTATTAAAGGGTGCAAAAAAAAACTGTTGATTCTGGACCACTTTTATGAGATGAGCTTTAAAATAAATAGATATTTAAGTATAACAAGATTTAAATAAAAATATCATTATAATTATGAGTGTGTGACTGTTGGAGCAGTGATCTCAAGGTGACATATTTCTAAGGAAAATAAAGTATTTTGGTGGTTAATTTTTTATAATAAAAAAGGAAATTATTATGACAACTCCTGTTATATCAGAACAAGATAAGACTGAAATTGCTGAAAATATTGATATCAGATTAGAAAATGATATCAATGCAAAATGTTGTGGGAATTGCGAAGAGGAAATTGAAGAAGGTGAGGTAATTTTTTCCAAATTACAGATTGATTATAGCACACCATTGTATAATTCGTCAAAGATTCCAAAGATTCATTTCGTAGTACCAACATCTCAATCCGACTGGCAACATGACGCCTGTCTAGAAAAGGAAAATTCTGTACAAGCTACTATTAGTTTATGGTGTAATGAAAATTTAGAAAATTTCACTGACATTGGTGAAGGTGAATCTTTTAATTGTAATGTCACTTCATTACCAAAAAATATATTAGATATCGAGGTAATGAGAGATACGAAAAACAATGTCCTAATTTTACCTCATTTCCTGTGGATTAATGATTTAAAAAGTGAAAACGTAAAAGCAACATTAGATGATTTAGTTCCTTCATTATTAGAAAAAAAAATTGATAGAGATACTTTATTGAAGGAAAAACCATACCTCTCTGGAGCCAGAGAACGTGCATTTGTATTTATTTGTTCTCATAAAACCAGAGATAAAAGATGTGGTGTTACAGCTCCTGTTATAAAAAGAGCATTTGACAAAGAACTTCAAGCTCATGGACTCTACAGAGATAATTCCGATTTTAGAGCAGATGGTGTTAACGTGTCATTTACAAACCATGTAGGTGGTCACAAATTCGCCGCAAATGTTTTAATATATATCAAGAATTCCAATACATTAGTTTGGCTAGGTAGAGTAACCCCAAAACATGTACCCTTAATCGTAGATTCATTGTTACTACCAGAAACGCCAGCATTACCATGGCCAGAAATGGTAAGATGTATTAAGAAGTATGAATCTTGGTGAAAAAGAAGCCATCAATGTTAAATAAACTTTCCAATATTCGAATATAATTATATAATATAAATTCCCTTCTTCATTCAGTTGTATATACCTATCAATCATTGTATGTGCTCTCAGTTATTTTCATTGAAGTCTATTTCTACTTGTACTTCAATTGACAATTAATTGATTCCGTTAAAAACTGTTCGTTCCTAAACTTGTCTCTTTTCAAAAAGCTTGGATCCTCTATCTAATTGTTGTGATGCTTACAAAACTACAACTAATCTAACTTCTTGAGAGATCATATTAGGTAATGTGCAATTGTACAGGTGGCATCATATCTTAACATACTTCATTGTTTCACCATGACAAATTTAGCATTAAGTATAGACTTTTTGGAGAAAATGCGGACAATTGTAATCAATGCATAAGAAGATTATCTATAATGAAAAATGTCAAATAAGAAACATCTTCAATTCTTGACTAGCTAATACAAAACAATAGAGTATTGGATTGAGAGAGAGGAATTTTTTCAATTTAGAATATATACATATATATATACTGACCTGATTGTATCGAGTTTTGAGGACTAACTAAAAATGTCCTTATTAGAACTACCAATAAATATTCCAGAAATCCTAAGTCCTTATTTACCTTTAAAGGATGACTTAGTAAAAGATAAGCCATTTGTTACATTGACATATGCCCAATCTATTGATGCAAGAATTGCTGCTCAGAAAGGTGAGAGAACTGTTATTTCTCATGAGGAAACAAAGACTATGACCCATTATCTACGTTATCACCATGATGGTATTTTAGTTGGTACAGGTACTGTTTTGGCTGATGATCCAGGATTAAATTGTAAATGGGGCAAGAATTGTTTTGAGAATTCACCAAAGCCAATAATTATAGATCTTAAACAAAAATGGAAGTTTACAGGATCAAAATTACATCAACTATATTTGAATAATCAAGGTAAAAATCCAATTGTTGTAGTCGCTAATGAACCAATTAATAAAGAAGAACATGTTGAATATCTTACAATCCCTACTACAAATGGAAAGTTTGATTGGGGATTGTTGTTAAATGCTTTAAAGACTAACTTCAATTTAAATTCTATTATGGTTGAAGGCGGCGCAGTTGTTATTAACCAATTACTTACAGAATCCCATCTAATTAATAGTTTGATTGTTACTATCGGTAGTACATATTTAGGAAATTTAGGTGTTCAAGTTAGCCCTCCAAGAAAAGTATTACTGGAAAATGTCAATTGGTGGAGAGGAACAACGGATGCTGTAATGTGCGCAAACCTCAAACAACTGAAATAATGTTCAATTGTTTCTTGACTGTTCCTTCTCTCATATCATTTATGCGGGTGCCACGCCTTGATTTTATTCACGTTACTCTGTTCCACTTTAAGTCCAGCCCTATTTATTCATCATCAAGTCATTATCAGAAATATTGTTTATGTTACCTCAAAAATGAATCATCTAGAAAGTGTCATTTTTTATTGATTATTTGATTAAGAAAAAAGAGGGGAGATGGTAGTCCATTACCACCAGAGAGGTCATAAATAAACACAGTCTTGTCTATCGAAGATGAAAAGAGTTAGCAATGGCATAGGTTATCGTTGTTAATATATCAAAATAGTACTAATGGATACTGTGAGGTCATAATTGCATATGTTTACCCGGACAAACAGCCTTTTCTCTTAAGGGTATCCAGCCGCTTAGAAGTAACCGCTGTATCCTCAAAAAGTTCCATTATGAACACCCAAAAGGACGTTCTTTGTTCTAATAACTAGAATGGTTCATTTTAAATACCGATGACTCTATTACGTGATCTATTTGCTTTACAAGAACCATCTGGAGCTCTATAGGTCACTACTAACTACACTTAGCGTCTTAATCCTCAATTGATGTATGCATAATAATAAAATATTGGAAAAAAATAGTTTGATTTGGTTTAATGATCACAGCGTTGAATTTTAAATACTAAAAATAAACAAACAACGATTCATCTTCTATATATAATTGACTTTGGAAAATTACCAATAGCTTCAATAATTTATCACAAGTTTCAGTTATGGTTCTCTAATGATAGAAACTAATCCACAATCAATCAGTAATTAATAACTAATAAACTAATAGATAATATTTCCTTTTTAACAATTTAAATTGTTCCACACATAGTAAATGTCTGTAAGCTCAAGTTCTACTAGTGCTTTTGTATCTTCATTACTTTTTAATGGTGCTATTGCAATAATTTTTCTATTTCTATTCATTCACTTAAGACCAAGAAACCGTCGTGTTTATGAGCCAAGAACATTATCTGACATCCAAACTATTAGGGAAGAAGAACGTACAGAACCAGTCCCTTCTGGTTATTTTAAATGGGCATCATTTTTACTTAGAAGACCTCAATCATATCTGATTCAACACGCAAGTATCGATGGCTATCTATTTTTAAGATTTGTAGGTATATCAGCATGCCTGACTTTTGCTTCGTGGTTTATTTTATTCCCAATTTTATTGCCAGTAAATGCCACGGGAGGTTTAGATTTAAAAGGATTTGAACTACTTTCAATGGCAAATGTGACGAATAAAAACAGGTATTATGCCCATGTATTTTTATCATGGATATGGTTTGCCCTTTTAATATTCATTATTTACAGAGAATTGTACTACTATGTGATCTTTAGACATGCTCTACAAACAACACCACTTTATGATGGGTTATTATCTTCTAGAACAATAATTTTGGCTGAAATTAAGTCATCAGAATTGACTATTTCAGGTGAAATAGAAAAAATATTTCCAAAGGCATCCGGTGTCTTATTTGCTAGAGATAACTCGGAATTAATTGAATTATGCCAAGAAAGAGCGAAAGATTGCCTTTTATATGAGAAAGCAATGAATAAGATGCTAGGCAAGGCTGTAAAAATGAAACTGAAGGCTGACAAAGATGAAAAATACAGGGAAAAATTATATATGAATGGTAAAAACCCAGCAAATGATTTAGAAACTTATATTCCGCATGGAAAAAGACCAAAACACAGAATTAATCCAAAAGTACCTTTCCTCAAATTTACTGGAGAAAAAGTCAGCACTATAAGGTATCTAAATGACAGAATTCCAGAGCTTAATGAAAAAATTCATGATTTACAAGAAGAAGTAACAGATAATGACATATTGCCAACATGCTTTATCAAATTTGATACTCAACTTGAAGCTCAACGTTGTTACCAAGCATTACCATTCTTGATTGGCAAAGAAAGCTACGGCAAGAGGTTTATTGGATATTCTTCTGAAGATATTCTATATGAGAATTTAAAATTTACAAAAAAGGAAAGGAAATTTAGAAGGTTAATTGCAAACACCTTTTTAACATTAATGATAATTTTCTGGGCTATACCTGTGGCAGTCGTCGGTTGTATTTCTAACATTAGTTTTTTAACTGATAAGATTTATTTTTTAAGGTGGATCAATAATCTACCAAATGTATTACTTGGTTTGATTACTGGTATTGTACCTTCCATTGCGTTGGCATTTTTGATGTCTTTAGTCCCTCCAGTCATCAAGAAAGCGGCTAAAATGAGTGGCGCGATGACATCGGAAGATACTGAGTTATACTGTCATAAATGGTATTTTGCGTTCCAAGTTATTCAAGTTTTTCTCGTTACTACAGGCACTTCATCTGCATCATCCACTGTTATTGCTATCATCAATGATCCCAGTTCGGCTATGACATTATTGGCTAAAAATTTGCCTAAATCTGCAAACTTCTATATTTCTTACTTCTTAGTTTTGGGTCTAACCGTACCTACAGGATCACTTTTACAGGTGGTCAATTTGATATTGAGTAAGTTCATGGGGAGGATATTTGATAATACTCCAAGACAAAAATGGTTACGATACAACACATTGTCCAAACCATCAATGGGAATTATATATCCCACCATCGAGATAATTTTATGTATTTCGATATCATATTCAGTAATTTCATCACTGGTTCTCGTTTTTAGTACAACTGCACTGTTTTTCCTTTATTTTTCGTATCTTTACAATTTCAACTATGTATTTGGTTTTTCTGTTGATATGAAAGGCAGAAATTATCCTCGTGCTATTCTACAAATTTTTGTTGGTATATACTTAGCTGAGATATGCCTGCTTGGTTTATTTATTATGTCGAAGAACTGGGGTTGTACTGCGCTAGAGGCAGTTTTCTTATGTGTTACACCATTATTTCATATCTATTTTAAACGAAAATTCATCCCATTAATAGATTGTGTTCCCATAAGTGCAATTCGATTGGCTAGGGGTGAAGAAGGTTTTTCCTATCCATATAGTGACCTAGGAGCCGATGAAATGAAAAATATTGGCGAGTCTAAGAAAAAACATCATGAGGAAAATATTACAGGAGGAATAATTAGACCAGCAACTAGGAGAGAGTTAGAGGAAGCACATGTTATTCCCAGATCTAATGACGAATCTTCATCTCATCTATCTGAATCTCCAGTCTCCGAGGAAGAAAGGCTACACCTTTCCCAATCCGAAGAGGTTGCATCTGAAACCCAACAAACATCTTACGAACCTCAACCATTTTCTCGTGATAAAAAAAAAAGTGAAAGATACGATGCTGACAGGTCCAGCAGTGAAGAGACTGCGTCCCCAACTTCAAATACATTACCGAAGTATGAAACAAGTGACAACAAACAACAGAGTCTTGCTGCTGACCAATATTCAAAAGTAGCTTCTACATTTGTTAGTGAAGAGGAACAGTTTAGGAAATGGCATTTTGAAGATATTGAAAATCTACAACCGGAACCAATAAAAACCAAAGCTTACGAGTACGGAAGAGGCGATGGATTAGTACCTGGTAGAGCCGATATTGGATATGTTTATAGTGATCAACTAGCAATGACAAACGATCCAAAGGCATATCCAAGAAATTTAAATCGAACATTTAGTTGGCCTCGTAGGATACTTCATTTTTTCCAACCAAGTAAAAGCTATCCATTTGAAAGAGTTAGAAGAAGATTGCCTCATGCGCTAAATATGAGAATTGAATATAATGATGATTTTATTTCAGAGGCATATTTTGACCCAAGTGTTACGGAAAAAGACCCTATAATATGGATTTGTAAAGACAGCATGGGTTTATCAGAACAACAAATTTCTGAGGCAAAAGACCATGGATTGAACGTCAGTTCAGATTTCACTCAGTTTAATGAAAAAGGTAGCATTACTTTCACGTTTAACCCTCCAGATTTCGAATATACGGCCAAGAAGTGAGTTGTTTTTTTTGGCTTTTTTTTTGTTTAATTGCTTTTCCACTACTGAATTTCTTTTTTTTGTCTCCTATTGCTCTATGAAACCTTCGTGCTTAAAAATGATACTTCGGCCAACTGAAAAAATATCGCTTTCTTTTACTACCTTTGCATTAAGAGTATTTTGCCTGAAGTTTCGAGAGTCTATTACTTTAATTGATTGAATATCATTTATTGTAATAAACTTTTTGGTTCGAAATCAGTTCGAAATCGGTTCCTTTGCAAGAGATATCGAGGCCGAACCCTATAATCAATTCCGAAATATACTAAAAATATATACATGTTTTTTTCTTTTGCTACTGTTAAATTGAGGTAGCAATCGTGAATTAAAAATATGAGAAATTTAGCTAAGTAGCTATTTTCTAGCACAATATGTTTTTATTTTTGCTATTATTTGTTACTCAGCTTATTTTTCCTTTACGACATAATCGTTAACTCCATGTCTTCAGAGGAAGTTGTGTAGATTATTATTATTATTTATGGTATGTCAGACAAGGCGATATTATGCAAGGCCACCATTGGTTAGATACAGTTTAACTTCTATTTATCGTTCTTCTTTGCAGCTGAATTGAAAGATATCGTATCGAAAGAATGCTGATTTTGTTAGCATTGCTCGTAAGGTTGCTGACAGAAACCATTCTGTTCTAGACCATCTCGTTCACCTGTCCTGTGCATGAAGACTATACGACTTGATTATTGGTATGGAAGGAGCTGTGGGATACTGCAAAACAGAGGAGCACGACTGAGATAGTATTATTACTATTTGACTGTAATATTGAGAATTTTTCTTAACTGTTATTATTTTAGAAATATTTTATTAGTATATTGATATATTTATTTATATATAAATACAATTGTTCCTCCACTTATACCTGATTCGAACCTATCCTACGAATTGCTCATCAATAATATACTTTTTTAAAAGTCCTTATTATTTATTTTTGACTAAGATACTAACAATCAATTGTCGAAGAGAAACCGGTACATCCAATATCTCAATATACCTACAACAAGGCCAATAAAATAAGGTAATTATGGATTCCTGTAAATTTTACATTAACTACAATGGTCAATCCATTGACTTTGAAAATTTTGTTCACCGTATGGACTTAAAATACTTGGACAGATTGATGAAAATGTACTTAGGTGCTAACACTGGTTTAAGAAATAAAGAGATCAGATACACTACTAGACCAGCTGGTTCATCATTCCAAACTTTTTCAGCTGAAAACACCAAACCAATTCACTCCGATGTCGATGTTAAACAATTTGGTATCAGTGCTGCCGATAGCTCTCTAGAGGGTGTTATCGTTGTCACTGACAAGACCAGCTCTTTCCAAACATCTAACTTCAACACTACTGCCAGTGTTGCTTCCAACAACGATGATGTTACATTATCTTTAGGTCAATGGACTGAATTGACCAACTGTATCAAGAAACTTGAAACTGTTGTCAACGTCAAATGTCCTCAATCTTCCGCTAGACAAACAAGAGTCAACAACATGACCCACAAGAACGTTAAGTGCAATGGTTGTGTCTCCAAGAACTCTAACCATAATGATATCAGAGGTTACCGTTACAAATGTGTTGTTTGCCCAGAATTCAACTTATGTGACCAATGTGAATCTCAAAACTTTGAAATGTTCAACCATTCTTCCGCTCACAATATGATTAAGTTCAAGAACTCTGAATTGCAAACTTCCAATGCGAGCTACATAAATGCCACTCAAAACCTTAGCAGTGGCCAACTTAGCAATCCCCAACTTAGCAATGGCCAACTTAGCAATTCCTCAAACCCAGAATTTTTAAATGCTATTAAAGTTTCAGTAAAACAAACTGACTTCAATTATGCTTTCAAAGTCGAGAATGGTAAAAAGGCATTACCAGGTAACTTAACACTAGAAGTTCAATGGAATCAAAACGTTAAGAGTGTTATTGAATTAGGTGAATCTAGTTTGTTGTCAAATGATAATAAAATTATTAAATACAATAATTTCGTCAATCAAAGCACACGCCCATTCTGGAAGCCAGTTATTCAACAAGTTAGACTAATGACTAAAGAATCTAAACCATTGTATTCGGGTAAGAACACCAACGACTACAATGGTGAAATAATGTTATACCCATCTCAACTATCACAAGTCAATTTGGAACAAATGCAAAGACAATTCAACTCTCTTTCAGTTACTGAAAATGATGTAATTAGTACTGCTACCAATACTAACATCAGCAGAGACAACGATTGGGAAGAATTGGATTTATTAAGTGAAGATGAATATTAATGAATTCAAGAAAGATATGATTATATTATCTCTTTGTTTCTAGTATTTATTAATGATGACGCAACTTATTAAAGACCATTATTCCAATCACAATTCGATATAATAAATTATATATACATATATCTAGATATCTACGTTTATGTATATATAAATTATGCCAATTAATTTGGGATAGAATAGAATTTTAAAAAGATTTAAAGGTAGTATCATAACGTCGATTAACGTTGCGAAAACACGTGATACAACCTTTTTCACTAAGCCAAAAAAAAAGAGCGCAATTAAAAAGCAACGCCCAATAAGTTTAAAATGACAGCACGATGGCCATTGTGAATATTGTTTTAATTAGGATGCATCGTGGATGTGTGCCTATTAAAAGTATCTATCTATGTACATAATAATCAATTTCCATATACATACCTACGTCGTAGATAATTATACTAAAGTTATTCATGTATTAGTTGAATCTTCTTTATTTCTTTTATATTTTCATTTTTCATTTTTCATTTTTTTGTATACTCCTCCTCCATCCAACTGCACTCCGCACCTTATCCAGATCGTAACATGTATGCCCGAGCCGAGGCATGTAACCCTGACTTATTTTCAATCATCGTTGATGCTAAACTCCCATCCCATTCTGTCACGCGGACGGGGGAACTGCACCGAATAGAACCAAATTGAAGAATACGATATGATACGGAACGGAGAAGAAGCAGTAGAAGGGAGGAGATAATAGATATCGCAATTGTGTGGATGGTATGATGAATTTTAACCGAGTGGTCAAAAATAAACTTCAGAAAAGGGGAAGGGGAAGGGAAAAGTTACACAAAAGTCTACATAATATACATATAAATTGGAAATAGTTTTTGTGGATGTAACGAAAATTGAATATAATGAAAGAATTGATCAAGCACCTGAAATTTAGTTTTGGTTTTGTGTCCTACAAGATCTATAATCCGTAATGAAAATTTCAACTTTAAAAAAAAAATGGCATAAAAAAAATTAAACTTGAGAGATGTAAGTCAATTTGGTAAAGGTAGAATGGAATAGAATAGAATATATAAAAAGATCAAGTTTCAGTCAAGGTTGAGAGAACAGACTTAAACTTACCGTAACTTCTCTCAATTGTCGTTTATTAAAAAAAGAAAATAAGCATTAAAATTACAATTAAGGTTACAATTACATATAGATATAGATATATAGATATTATTGTCAGTACATTCCACCAGTAGCGTCATTTTGATATTATTTTATGTATTATATTATATTATATATATTATTTATTAGGTTAGGTTAGATTATTCACATATTTCTAATCCTCGATACTGCACTGGGCTGACTCCTAGATGATATTTTTATTTGATTATTTCACTATAATTTCAGTATACTTCATCAACTATAATTTCAGTATACTTCATCAACTATAATTTCAGTATACTTCATCATAACGTATTTTGTAAATTGTGAATTATGAATTGTAAATTGTGTTTTTGTATCCTTTTTGTATCCTTTTTGTATCCGACATTACTTAAAATGTACACTAAGTTTTCCGAGTAATCTCAGCCTGTTGATAGAGAGAGATTACTTTTTAGGAAATAAAGGAAAGGGAAAAGGAAAGGGAAACAAGGACCAATGAAAAAGAAAAGACAAATATAAATTGAAAATTAAACATACATCCCACCACACACAGACACACAAACGGAGAAATCCTGCTACAAAAAGAAAAAAAGACAGGAAGAACAGGCCCATCCATGGCTTTTCCCATTTTTACATCAGCTTCTTTTTTTTTTCTTTTTTTTCTTTTTTTTCTATTTCCTCTCGTTTTTACCAATTTTCTACCCACCCACCTCCATGTCTATCTGTCCCATATCTATCTTTTATTTTCCCAGCACCAGCATTACTCCAGTGCACTAAGCAGAATCTTACGTCTAGTCTAGATGCCAGAACACAGGAACAGACAGCGGGACAAAACTTTTCAGTAATAAATTACGTTGTGCTATGCGTGCGTGCGAGAGAAGGATCAAAACCAAACCAAACCAAACCAAACCCAAGAAATCAGACAGCAGCGTAGCGTACCACCTCAGAAAAACAAATACACATACGTTACTTTATCAGGTGTGTATTTCTCTCTGTGTGTCTTTTTCTCTGTCCTATTTATGTTTGTCTGAGGGTCACACTCTCGACTACATTTCAACTTCAAGTTCAATTTTTACTTTTTACTTTTTACTTTTCCTTTCTTTGACTTTGACTTTGACTTTGACTTTGGCTTTGGCTTTGGCTTTGGCTTTGGCTTTTACTTCAACTTATTAGTTTTCTATTTTTTTTTTTAAAAAAAAAGGCTATTTCATCATGTCTATTACTTGCTCATACTATAAAATATTAGTTTTGGAAGCCTTTTAATTAGAGTTTGTTTCTCTGTTCCTGTTGGCATTATTTCATTTTCTTCTGAGAAATCATAAGACTACAATAATATTATTTCACAAGATTAGTTTAGTTGACAGAATTCCATTATTGACATCACATTATATTAATTATATTTACGATTTATTCATTTCAATATTCTTTGAACTATCTGGTTTTTGTGTTCATTATTTAATTATCTATTTTATTTATTATTGTCTTCTTTATTTTTGGTTTCTATAAACAATCCAATAGAGAGAAAGAAACAAAGAAAAAACTTAAAAAAGTATACCATATACTTTTAATCACATCTCTGTGTTTCTATCTTTTTATTTCATATATATCTATACTATTATTTTGTTGATTCCTATTGTTCCCCAGTTTAAGCTACTGCTCTCATCTCTAGAAATAGTGGAATATACCCTTCAACTCCACAACTTTAATCAATACTCTTTGCTATTGCTGATCAAGACAAACAATAAGAATAAACATCTTTGTGGTTAATAAGAAAAAAAAAGTAATACAGATATATATACATATCCATTCCCAGCATTTACTACAAAACCAAGGTTATTATCAGTCCTATACAACTTAACGACTTTATTTGACTTCTGTTTTATATATATATATATATTTTTTTTTTTCACTGCTTCACATATCCACTCTTTCGAATTCTTACATATATCAAAAGAAGCAAAGGACATATAATAAAAGGAACTTTAATGACAACAATTTCTCAATTACTTTTAAAGATTAACAACAACAACAGTAATAATATTAATTATAATAATAATAATAACAACAACAATAATAATATTAATCCTACAATATTTTAATCCATTTTATCTTTTGACTATCATTATAGAAGGCAAAAAAAACACAACAGAATATTAACATTCAAGCATACACATATACACCAAACTAACAAAAATGGAAGAATTACCAAACGACCAATTCATGGTCAACACTTTACTAAAACATCTCTACTTCGATAGACTGTTCCCAATGTTACCAATAGAATCTGCATTATCAACATACAGAGAAGTTGAATCTGATTTATTATTTTTATCATGTAGATCAGTTATTCTAAACGTTGCAATTTCACAAGATTTGGGTCCCGTAGTACAACAGACTTTAGATTTAATAGATTTGATACTTCGAAATGAAAATATCAATTCACCTAATATCACCGAAGATGCCATACACTCAATCTTCGTTATGATAAGGTTATTGAGTGATGTAATGGAATATTATTGGGATAGTAATGAAGGTGACATGCTAGAGAATGATTCAAGAAATGAACAGATTGATGCATCAAACAAAGACCAAAATGGTAGAAGGAAAAGTCAAATACCTATAGGTAAACAAAAGTCACTATTTACTGGTACCATAGTAGGTTATTCTACTCACAGACCAAATTTTCATACATCAAGACCAGCAAGTTTGAATCCAGAATTAGCAAAAAGATTAGTATACACTTGTTCAAGAGTTAAATTTTCAAGACTAACTTGCAGAGTATTATCAAATATATCTCAAAACTTTTCACATTATACTGTTTCTTCAATTGATAACATTTCACCAAATTATAGATATTTCAAAAACAATCCTTCACTAATACCTTTAATTGAAAGAATAGATCTGACAGTAGATTATATACAACGTTTTGTTGCTGCATCAAACCCAACTGAATTTTTCCAATTTATCAAAAGTAAAGCATTATCCCCTTCATTGAAAAAAGATACAGAATCTTGGAATGAAATCGTTTGCCATTATGATTTAATGGGATGTATTTTCCTTTCAAAAAGATCATTTCCAAAATTTTTTGAAGTAATAAAATCAATTGTGGTAAACCTGAAAAAATCAATCTTTTCATGCCTGTTTTTATACTATTCATCAAAAGCATTAATGTATTGGTTTATGGCAAGACCTAAGGAATATGAAGAAATAATACTATCTTTCAAAGAGCTAAGTAGAATAGAGTCAGACTCAAAAGAAAAGGATGCAAAATTATCTGAAACATTATTGAAAGCAAAACATCTATCAAATCTGTCAACCTCATTATTTGATGAAATTTACTCTGTTTTTGCAGTGCCCAATATGCTAACTTCATCAACTTCAAGTAGTAATTCATCAACTACTTCAAATCTAAATTCATCATCAAATAACTTAAGCATTCACATAAACACAGGGGTAGCGTCCTTACACACATCCTCTTCAATATCGCCATCAGTAACTCACCCGCCAAGAGAACAAACAACTACACCAGGGTCAGTTAAATCCAATCTTTCTAACGTCTCCAGTACTCAATCTGCTCAATTAATTTCCAATCCAGTATCTCCCGCTGTCGGTTCCATAGGAAGAAAATATCATCCACCAAACACATCTGAATTATTACAGCCTTCTCCAAATCCATCTTCTCATGCTAGTACTATAGATGATATGTATAGTTACAGCACTTGTACTAAAGGGGATGAAAGTACTGATAGTTCGGAATTATCTACCCAGAGATCAATAGACCAGGCATCCACTAGACCTATGAATGATATTTTCCATCTAATAAACGTCTTAGATCTATATACAACTTTCGACGAGTCAGAATCATTAATTCACACCTCAGTCCTGAGGTTTTTGTCTGTTTTGTTGTTGCTGGATCCAGATGTTTTCTCTGAAATTAATACTATTCCATTCAAATACATACGGGATGCTGCACCAGAATCATCTAGAGCACTAATAGATAAAGAAAAGGAAAGGGAAAAGGCTTTGAGTATGAAGCATCTAACACATGGTTTAAGAAAACTAACCACCTTAACTCCCCAAAAAGTCAGCAAGCCTGTCAAATTCTTAACATCATTAATGAGAATATACAATGGTTCGCATTCTTCATCTGATTTAACTTTATTGGATAGTATAAGAGCTTTATTATCTCTGTTTACAGTGTCTTCGGCAGTAGCATTGAGAAGTAACAAGTTACCTGCTGCAATGTTTGCTAGTAGATTAATAGATTCCTTTGGGATTAATTTAGAAATAGGAAAAGATTGGAATGCCCCTTTAATTCCAAATATAGTACAATGTCTCAACAAGCATAAGAGGATGACAACTAGATTCCAACTTGAATATTTCGCTGCTTCCCTTCAATTAGAGACTCACACCTTTTTAGAGCATTTGAATTTAGAAGCTGCTGCGAAAGAAATGGATACCGACAAGCTTGTTTTATACACTGAGGGTTTACGTGTTTTTTTCCATTTGCCTAATTTCCAAATATTACGTAGGAAAACTGCTATTCAAACTGCCCCATTTTTCAAAGGTCTTTTCAGCAATGTATCAGATATCATTCTAAAAGATTTCCCATATTTCAATGAGTATTCAGTATCAGAAATTGTAGCATCCATCATGGAAGGTACTTTAATAGATAAATTCGGCGCGAAGGGTGTATCTATAAGATCATCTCCTTCATCATTATCCTCTATGATTTCTCCTTCACCTGCTACCAAACCTTCTCAAGCCACAAGTCCAGTAGGAATGGATTCTGGTTGGACTCAACATCCGATTATTCCAACTTCTTCCAATTCATCGGACTTATCTGATATCAGTTCTTCAACAGTATCAAATGTATCAGAAATGTCATTTAGTAACCTAATATCTCCAAGAGCACGTAGAGTATCTGGAAATTCCGGTGTTTTAAAAAGGAGCTCATTATTAGCATCTCAAGGAGACCTAGAAAATAAAGGCTCCAGTGATTCACACGTCCTAGTTTCTAATGGTTTCACTTCAGCCACACCGATTCAACCAGCTGTTCCAAGAACTATCAGATCACCTATTAGACCACCACCATTACCTAAACGTAATAAGGATGACAGCTCAGTTAAGGTAACGAAACAAACACTTAATACTAGCAGTGATCCTAATATGTACTCTATTTCTGATATTGAAAATGCAAGAAGAGTTATGCTAAATATATTTAGTATTTTCAAGAGAACTGCAAATTTTTTTCTATTACCAGATGATAACACATTATCTTATGATATGGCAGGCGAGGACTTTAAGTTAATTATCAAACCCATATTCATTGCAATTATTGATTCTAGTAAAACTTTAGAATCTACAGCACAATCTTTTATGAATGTCTTAATTAAATTTATGTCTGAACTCGACGCTACCGTTTCAAGCCCAGTTTTAAATGCCTATTATCTATTTTGCAGTTATTCTGTGACATTATTTTCCTCTGCCTTATTTGATCTAAATTTGACAAATAACAAAAGAGAAATATTGTTAGATATAGTTAGTAAGCTGCTACAAGTTAAATCAATCTTGGGCAAAATTGCAGAAGAGACAAAAAGAATAGATTTTATTAAAGATTCCGAAGAAAAAACTTTTAATGGTTTGGTTGGCTCTGTTGGTAGAGGCTTATTTGTTTCTTTGCATACAAACAAGGGTAATGTCCAAAAGCTTTTGACAAAAGCTTATTTAGAATATTACCAAACATTATCGTTTCATAAGAATAACATTGGTAATTTAGAAGACAAATGGAGAGGAAATATGGAATTTGTCCTTGCAATGTCTAAGGATAATTACGTCTCATCAGGATCAGTTGCATTTCAACGTCGTTTGAGAACCAATATATTGAAGTACATTGGCCACCCAGATGAGATGTTGTTAGACTCCATTCGTGTTATATTTAGAAAATGGATGCAAATTTCAAATACTAGATGTCTCTCTCCAGAGGATTTGGCTGATTTTAGAAGCTATGCTGGTATTATCGCGTCCTTATCCGGTGTAATGTTAACAATTGCGGAAGATGGACCTGTTAGATATCCATTTTTACTTGAAGTTAAGATGGAAATAACAAAAGAAATTAATCATTTCATTTCAAAACAGTGTTCATGGCTGAATAACGATGATTTGCTAACTAGAGAGAATTCAAGAGATATATTGAGCACCGAGCTTCATCCATTATCCTTTAAACTTCTCTTCTACAATTTAAAACTGAAGTTTGAGGAAGTTAGGACTGTGGATTTATCACAAGACGAACAGTCGTCCTATTTTATTCTGTTAGAGCAGATTATTATAATAATTAGAACCATTTTGAGACGAGATGATGATCAACAGGTGTTATTTTTATTTTCTCTAGATATTGTTAATTTCATTGATCAACTGGTGGAATTGGTAGAGAAAGTAGACCAAAAATCTTCAAAATACTATAAGATTGTTATTCACCTTTCTAAAATGTTCAGAGCAATGAAGCATTCTGAAAAGAATTTGGGTTTAGCTGGCCATTATCTGTTGAAGAATAAATGGTTAAAGTTAGTAACAAAGTGGTTTAAATTATCAATTGCTAAAGAATTTGATTGTGAAAATTTATCAAAACCTCATCGTGAAATGGACTTGAAGAGGAGGGATTTAGATTTATTATATTTGGATACTTCTATCGAATCTTCAAAAGCTATAGCATATTTAACCCTCGAGTTACCTCTAGAAATCCCTCCAGCATTGTCAGAAGAAGAAATGAGAAGGTCATCTGGGTTAATATTTAGAAATTATTTTGGTATTTTGCTTAAGGGTATTGAAAAGACTACAGATATGAAGAAATTCCCAACCTCGTTAAAGCATAAAGTTACTATTTTAACTGAAAATTTAATTGCATCCCTAACTAACTTATCAAATTCAAATGTCGAACCAGCATTGCAATATACCTTACCAATGGGTTTCTCTGAAAATAAAGATATAAGAATTTCATTTTTGAAGGTATTCATAAATGTTGTTAAAAATTACCCAAACCGTAAATCTAATACTGAAAAAATTAAGATTGAAGCCACCAACGAACTTTTAAAATTTCTTATCAAATATCCACATTTAATCACACAAGCAACAAATGTTTGTTCCTCGGCTGAAATCGATGAATACACAGTAGGTTTGGTTAGTGCCTTTGATACTAAAAATGCTGCTCATATATTAATCACTCAATTAGTTAAAGATGAAATACAAGATTCCATTAGGCATATGGATATTTTGAGAAGAAATAGTGTTGCTACGAGAGCACTATCGTTATATTCAAGATCTAAGGGTAATGAATATTTAGTAAAAATAATTGGCCCAGTTTTAGAACAAATGGTTGAGGACAAAGCATACTTTGAGGTGGAAAAACTGCAACTAGATGATCCTAATGCTTCAGAGCAACTTGATTTGTTTGAAAAATATATGAAGATTTTAATTGATGCTATCATTGGTTCAATAGATTGTTTCCCAGTAGAATTATTCGTTGTTTGTCAGGTAATTTATTCTGAAGTTCGCAAAAAATTTCCAGAATACTCTTTAGTTGCAGTTGGGTCTTTTGTATTTTTGAGATTCATATGTCCTGCTTTAGTCAGTCCTGAAACTGAAAATATTATCGGCGTGACACCATTGAAAGAAAAACGTTCATTAATACAAATGGCTAAAGTTATTCAGAATATGGCAAATGGATCTGACAATTTATTAAAATGGCCATCATTAGCCACTAAGTTGGATTTCCTAAAGAAATGTAATGATGATATATTCGAGTTCTTAGCTGAATTATCTAGAACAGACAGAGTGATCAAGATTCCATTAAACTCAAGTACCACCTTACCATCAAATGTAACAATGCTTTGGAACCTAAACTTTTTCCATACATTTTTGTATATGCACGAACTACAAATCAGAAAAGGAAACTTAGATGAAATGAAATCTTTCACTAATTTTAATCTTTTAAGAGATTCAATTATGTTGGTTGATAGAGTGTTAGGTATATGGGGTCAACCAGTTTGGGAATGTAGAAACGAAATTCCATTATTTGTCAAAGAGAACGTAGACAGATATCCTCAATTATATGAATTCATGAGTAGGTATGCATTCAAAAGAGTGCTGTCAACAGCTGAAGATGCTACGTATGTCCACGAGTCTATGTCATCGGATGGATTCCAAATATTAACTTTGACTTTTAGCCATTTTATCAGTCTAGGTTTTGATGTTGATTCAATAGTGTACAGAACCCTTCAAGTTTATGCAAGGATTTGGTCCAATAATCATTATTTGGTCCTTGATTGCACAGAATTCCATTCTGAGGAATGTGATATCCCTAAGCTAACCACTCTTTTCTTAAGTTTATTACCAGATGAAGCTTTCCAACATTGTATTGGCTACTATTTCTTAAATGTTACTGAATCTTTTATGGATAGTTGGGCCGCTTTGCTTACAATGGACAATCCTTATATTAGCCATAAAGTTCCAATATTTTTTGTGAATACAATAAGCGACCAAGAAATGATTAATACTATTGGTTTAAGTCCGCAAACTACTGCAGTTCTTGAAGATGTCAGGATCTCTTTACATGAAATAAATCTTTTTGAGGAGGAAAAACAAATATTCAAGCCTGTAGCTATGAGATTAGGTAATAAATATTTCCAAGTTTTACACGAAGAACCCAAAAAGTATTACTTTGAAGGATTTGATACAGGATTTGATATAAAGTTTAACTACGTTTACAGTATTTCTCAAGTTGCAAACGTATTAGTTTCATATACGAAAGGGATGCCTAATGAGTTTATGGTAACATTTACAGATGGAAAAAAATTGATATTTACTAGTCCAAAGTATTTAGAAATTGTGAAAATGTTTTCGTATGCATTAGCGAAAATACAAGATGATATCGGCATTAGTAATATGCTTTCTCCAATCACTAAAACAAAGAATAAAACTACAATCGGAAATGAAAAGGAAACATTATCCCATATTATATTAGTGGTTTTGGCGGGCCTTTTCCATAATGACGACGTTGTTAAGAATATTGCATATAATTTATTAGCTACCACCCAAGATGCGTTTAATTTAAATTTTGGTATTAAATTTAGAACAACTCCAGAAATGTACGTCCCTGATGACTGCACGACATTCTTAAGGCAATTATCAAAGGCAATTGCAGAATCTGCACCTGAACTTACTCCACATATCTTCAAATTGCTTATTGAAGCGTTAGAGAATGGAATTATCCCTCAAGATTATATTCCACAGACAGTATGTTGTATGTCATATTGGATTCCTAATCTTTACAAATATGTCTATATCTCTGATGAAGAAGAAGGACCCGAAGAGCTATCATATATGATAAGAGTATTGATAAGATTAACAATTTCCGAACCACATTTTACTTCGGTATATTTACAGCACATATGGTACATCATAGTTCTAGATGGAAGGTTATGTAATATCATAGTTGAAGAGGTAGTGAATCATGCTTTAGAAAGAGATTCTGAAAATAGAGACTGGACAAAGGTTTTGCCACTTCTAACAGGATTGTCAACAGTTGATATTGCCTGTAATATAATTCATCGTCTGATGAGAATAATTGACTCATTCTTACCATCATTAAAAATGGAAGTCTCCACACAAAGTTGGTCTGAATTGACTATATTGGTAAAGATTGCAATTCCTTTATTTTTCGAATCACCAATGCTTGCACAGATGTACCTTCCTGAAGTATTATTCATAGTATCGTTGCTAATCGATCAAGGTCCTAAGCATATAAGAAGTTGTTTTCATCAATTGTTAATGAATATTTGTCATTCCCTAGCCATAAATGACTCCTTAAGTGAAATAAATCGTAAAAATCTGGATGAAGTTTGCTGTATATTTTCTCGCCAAAAGTTGAAATTTATGTTTGGTTTTAGTCAGGATAAGGGCAGTGTGTTAAGAAATTTCAGTATTTCATCGTTTGCAAGTAAGTTTAATACTTTAGAACATTTTACTACTAATATTTTCTTTGCGATGGAGAATGCAGATATATCCGAATCAGCTCACTGGAAAACCAGGTATAAGAAATATTTAATGGATTCAATATTTAACAGAGATTCTTTCCTATCTGCTAGGGCTATGATGATTTTAGGTATTATTGGAAAATCTAATACCTCTGAAATGTTATGCAAAAATCTTCTAAAGGAAACTATGAAGGTAATGGCAGAACCACATGTTGATGACGAAGCTATATTCCTCCTAATTTCTCATGTTTTTACGTACAGTAAGATTGTTGAAGGTTTAGATCCATCTTCCAATTTGATGAAACAATTATTTTGGTTTGCTACCTGTTTGACCGAATCACCTCATCCATTGATATTTGAAGGTGGTATGCTTCTTTTATCAAATTGTTTGAAGAGGATGTATATGCTAAAGTTTGAAATCAGCTTTGATAGATCTAAGACATTATCCTCCACACTAATTGAAGCAAGAAAATTTGCAGAGCCAGTGTTATTAGAATTGGAAGTTGCTAGGGATGTGACTTGGAATATAGATAGCTTTTCACAAGTTTTGTTATCCATTATCATCAGAGGGTTGGCTATACCATTTGTGAAACCTGCCGCAATAGATTGCTTGGAACAATTCTTCAAGAATGCTTATTATGAATATCGTATGCATGCTACATCAACTGATTATTTGTCTTACCTATTTTTGTTGTTCTTAATTTCTACACCTGATCAGTTTTATAATATGTTACATGTTGTTGAATTTGAAGGTGAAATGACTACGCTGGATGATTTAAACAGAATACCAACAGTCCTTGCTGATTGGTTAGCATCAGATGCATGTTTCTCCAATGTTGCATTGTATCAAGGTGCCGTATTATTCAGTAGTTCAGTTTCAGATGAACTAACAAAGTTAAGGTTTGCTATTATAATGAGATATCTACTAAAAACAAACCCTATATGTGTATTCAGATTTTACACGGTAACCAGAAACGAATTAAGACGGATCTCTACATTAGAGCATAATTTGAATAGTGTGACCGTTGCATTTGAGTTAATCACATTACTAGTAACATACAAAGAATTTGAAGAATTACAAGACTTTAACAAATCGTCATTAGATAACTTTAAGGAAATCGGGTTATTATCTGTTACTAAAATCAGGACTTTCCCATTCCAGCATATTGGTGATGTACTAATGGGTATTCAAGAACAACCTAAATTAATATACGAAAGAAAGCGTTTGTTAACGATGGTTTTGGGAAGAATGGCATGCCACGATTAACAATTTTTATGAATAAATGAAAGGGCACTTATGTAAGAAGATGTCATGGTTGTTTTTTAATGGATAACGAATTTTAATTTAAGTTTATTCAATTAATCTTCTAATTTATATTACAATATATATTTGTAAACACATATATATACATTAATGTATATATATTTATATATGATTTAGAAACTAATGAGTAGAGTTATTATGATTTTTATGCAGTTTTTCAAATTCTAGTTTATCTGATTTATATATTAACATTGTTGATCTTGCATCTTCAACAGAAGAATGACGACCATCTTGAATCTCCACGTTTAATATCTCTTTTGCTAATTTTTTCAAACTAACAGTTTTACCCTTTGCATATTTTTGTCTGAAAGGTAAATGTCTTGAGGTATCTCTAATCATTGATTTTGGGTGCGATACTAATAATGCTTCTAAATCATGTTTAACCGAATGTCCTACTAAAATTCTACCATTTAGAATTTCAGATGCCCTTTTCTGTGCTTCTATAAATGTAATTGCAGACTTCATGTGCTCTGGTTTGATACCACTCACCCAAGTTCTCCAATCTGTGACCTTTTCTTGTGGTCTCACATATTCATCTAATATAACATGACCAAAGTAATTTACAACCGAGATTCTTGCTAAAGCTGATTCCTTAGCATCTGGACCAACACCCACAAATTCACAATCAATGGCAACATATTTACCAGTGTTACTAACTTTTTCATTATGATTAACCAATTTTATATCATCCATTAATTTTTCATCCAGTTTAGAATTTCCAATTTCCTTGTTGAATTCAAAATCATTACCTAACATTTTTTCCTCTTTTGCCTTCTTCATCTCCTTATTCATATTATAAATCATATCCATAATTTTACGAGGTTTCTTCATCTTTTCAGCCTCATTCTTAGTTATTTTACCATCATTTTTTACAGCTTTACCATTATTCTTCTTCTTCCCTTCCTTGACAACTACTCTCTTTGATTTCTTCAAGTTCTCCCAGTTAGAAGACAATGCCATACTTTAAAAACACGATTATACCTCTGGAACACACTCACTATACCCTCACTGTCCCTTTCCAATCTAAACCAACCTAAACCAATCAATACCCATTTATTAAATATTTTTATATCTCATCTCATCTCATCTCATCTCGACAATTTTTCAATCAGCCATTTTTTCTTTTTGCTTGCTATTCGGATATTTTTTTTTGACTATGACGACATTTTTAGAAGTTCAAGAACTTTAAAGGATTTCGAAAATATAAGAAAGCTTATAATGAATCAGAATATAGGTTCATAAAAGCACCATTCTATTTCGGATATATTATAGAGAAGAGCTCGATAATAGACTGATAAAGAACATTGTTATTGTAGTTTTACTATTACAAGACAGAAATATAGGCGGGCGGCCATTGATATATGGTTAAGATTTGTTTGATATGGATACTGTAGCATCAGTAAATAGACTACGGTCTCAATTTTTGCAGATATGCCCTGAAAAGGATCAAATGAGAAGGATAATGAAGCCTTATAGGGATGAGAATCTTCCGCATAATGAAATGGATGGTAAATTAAAGGATGCATATATTTTATCTAGTGGTAGAGACATTTTAAGTGAATTAATATCACCTCCTATAACACAAAATTTTATGGATAAATATTCTTTATCTCATGGTAGTGATACGAGAGAAATGTTGGATAGAAGGCGGAGAAAGACATCTTATATAAATACAGATACAATAAAGGGTTCTGTGGATAATTCAAGTAGTAAGATCTCCGATGAGAATGATATTAGTTATCAAGGTACTGCAAGCGATGTCCTTCAGAATACAACGGTGAATACCGATGAGATAGATTACTCCAGTAATTCTCAAGTCCCTGTTAGTAATTCAATGAATATAACTGATAGTCAAAATAATTCATTACAGACTTTAAAAAACAATATAACAAGTAATCCCACTGATCCAGAAATTGCATTAAATCATAACAAAATTAGTAGGAAATCAACTTCGAGGTTTGCAAGACTTTTTACTGGTAAAAAGGAAAATAATGGTAATAATAATAATAATAATCATAATAATGTCACTAATAGTAACAATAATAACAGTGGAGAACATAATACTGGTAACCAAAGGAATAACCAAAATAATAGCCAAGCTAACAGCCAACATCATAATAATAATTCTGATTCAATGAGAGCTCAGAATGTTAGAAAACGTTCTGTTTCAAGCTTTCAAAAGACTCATTCTAAAAAACCTAGTGCATTTGATATGAATTTTGATTATGATGAGAACTTGGATGAAGAAGACGATGAGGACGAAGATGAAGATGATGAAACAGATGATAAAAATGTACATGCTAAATTTTTTCAATTGGATAGTTCTCCAAACAATATATCAGAACCACATTTGAGAAATGAGGTCACTAGCATCAAAAGTGGGAATGCTACTTCTGATTCAGGAAGTAACAATGGTGTTTCCACAAATATTTCAAAAAGAATATCCCATTTCCCTCAAAATATGATTACTAGAGGTGTAGCTACCGATTCAAAGACTAATCAATCGAAAAATGAAAAAATATCTAATAGTAAATTAGCTAAGAAGGATAATTCGTTGGAAGGGAACTTATCTGATGAAAATGCTTCCAACCACATTAATCGTAGGGAATTGAATAACTCTATTTCTGATGATGAAGAAAATGTAATTTCATACATTGATTCATTTATTAATGAGCATGATTTAAATAACCTGACAAAAGAAGAACATCGCTCTTCGTTGGAGAGAAGTGAATATTTCAAAAATTCACCTGAATCAGAAATAGTCAGGTTAGATAGTGTTGCTCAAGAAAATATTAATCTCGATAATGAGAGTGATTTGTCGGGAAGTGAAATCGAAGATGGTGATAATTTGTCATCTTATGGGAAATCTCTTTTATTTTCTGACTTCAGTGCAGATGACTTTAGTAAATCGAGAGCAGAATTCCATGGCCTTAAAGCAGTCCCTCATACAGATACTATCGGATCTAATGGTACTCCTATATTGTTTAACAATTTTAAATTTGATAACGAAAAAGATTCAATAATTGATGATGGTACATTTGATAAAGATTCTCCTAAAACTCCAAACTATAAAAGACATAATTCTAATGAACAAAAACTACAGGGTATATCAACAAAGAATTACAATGGCAAAGGCACATCAGGAAGACGATCATCGCTACCTTCTTTAAATTTTACTAAATCTCATTCAAATAAAATTAGGGATCCAAACGCTAATAGAAATTATAGGAAAGTACTTCGAAATATTGATTACACTTACAAGAAACCTAGAAGAAACTCAACAGACTTGACGTTTAATCAAACACCTTCAACATTAAGTGTACCTTTCAGTTCTACATCTAGTAGACGAAATTCAGCTACTGCACCATTGTTGGTTATTGAAAAGGTGACTGATTTTAAAAATGCAAAACCTCAAGAGTCTCACCTATCTTCATTATTCAAAAAGAAACAAGATGTTAGCAATCCATCTGAATTATTGGATTACTTTTCTTTCGTTTCCGGTAGTAAGGTGCCGAAATATGAAGGTTTGAAGCTAAGTATATATATTCACGATTCTAAAAAGTACAAAAGAGAACCTTTCGAGACTACGGTAAGAAAAACTGCAACTGTTTTCGAGGTGATTGGGTTCAGTTTATTTCTTTATGCAACGTCTAAGAAACCAGAAGATTTCGAACTTGATGGTTTAACAACAGTAGAGATTCAAGATCCTAATAGTTTTTCATTGCATATTGTTGATGAAGATGGTGAACCTTTTGAAGATAACTTCGGAAAATTGGACAGAACAAGACCGATAAATACCATTTCTGATAATGAAGTGACACTATGTAAGGTTGGCAGCGGAGAAAAAGAGAAAAATGAAGCAATTACTGCTCTTCCATATGATTTGGACGGTAAAATTCATGATACTGCAATAAATGATATTACTTCGTCATCTATTTCAAAATCTGTTTCTACAGAAAAAACAATAAATCAACTAAGTTATTACAAACCTATTGTTGGAAATAACGATAATTTAGAAAAGAATACGAGTACAAATTCATTAAAGATTAAGGTTTATCTTTACCCTAACATCAACCCCAAATTTAATTATACCTACATTAAGGTATTAGTGACTGCAAATATAAATGATATTTTAGTGAAATATTGTAAAATGAAAAATATGGATCCAAATGAATACTTACTGAAAGTTGCTGGTAAAAACCTTTCATTGGATTTAAATGATACAGTTTTAAGATTAGATGGGAACAATGAAGTAGAAATAATATCAAAGAAGGATGCTAGAGAAATACATTTAGAAAAGATAAAACCAAATATGAAGAAACCAGTTCTCCCAACTATTCAAAGTAATGATCTAACGCCTTTGACTTTAGAACAAAATACCTCCTACTTAAAATATGATGCACCTATACAGGAAGCAGCACCAGTAGAGAATAAAAAGGCCGGCAAATCAAAGAAACATTCAAGATATAAATTAACGTTGACAAAACAGAATTCTGATCCTACAAATAATAATGGCTCTTCAAGTGTTGTCGGAAGTAGTTTCTTTAAGTCAAGGAATTCTTCAAAATCTTCCTTGCATGGATCATTACCATATTTTTATCCAAATAAATCGAATTCCAATCTAGACGACTATTCAAATGAAAAGGATGATAATACATATCAAGATTTGATAACTGGTGCTTATCACAAATACAGAGTTTGGAGAAGACAGCAAATGTCATTGATCAATAAACATGAAAGAACGTTAGCATTAGATGGTGACTATATTTATATTGTCCCCCCTGATAGACATATGCATTGGCATGAAAATGTTAAAACAAAATCGTTTCATATCAGCCAGGTCGTTTTAGTAAAGCGTTCCAAAAGGATACCTGAATATTTTAAAATTTATGTCAAGAGGGGTCAAGATGACATAAAGAGATATTATTTCGAAGCAGTATCTCTTGACGAATGTAAAGAAATAGTCAGCAGAATTCAAAGCTTGTTAAGTGCATATCGTATGAACCATAAAAAATGATACTTCAACATAGTTAAATCACTTATCTATTTATTCTAGTTTTAGTTTAAATATATTATATTCAATTTATAATAATGACATTACTTTGATTACATCTGTTTTACAAATTACATTAGAATTTAGAATTGAATTAAAAAAAAATTATTGTTCTAATAGTTCCATACTTTCTTCTTTAACATGATATGTTGTTTATTAATGTACATTTTATGGATCTTCTATATAGTTTATTATATGAAAAGAAAGGATTACTTGAATAACACTTCATTAGAAAGTGGATCAGCAGCAAGCACACTTTCTCTCTTTTTGATTTTTCTTTCAACAGCGGCGTCAGCTCTTGCCTTTGCTTCGTTGGCAGCTTGTTGTTTCATTTGAGCTCTAACGACATTTGGAGAAACATATTGCTTGTTTTCATAGATCTTTGGACCACCGAAAGAACCTTCTAAAATCAAGATAACGGTCATAACAAATCTTGGACCAATTTCGACTAATGATAAATCTTCTTCATTATCTTCATATTCTTCTTTATTTCTAGCAGCATGAGAAACTTCATAGGTTCTTACCCAAATCTTGTCATCGACAATGCTGAATGACATTACATGATCAATGAATGGTTTAATCTTTCTGGAAGTTGGTGGAACACCGAAGTTATGAATCAATAATTCTTTTATCAATTGATAATGTGGTGAAGTATCAAATCTATGATCAAAGGATAAAACTGGACGAGAACCTTTCAGACAGTTACCTGTGAAATTTAATTCATTCATAGTATGCAAATTTTGAATGTAGAATTTGATAGTAGGACCGTTTGGAGGTTTAGATAACCATAGATACAAATCTTGATGTTTTCTAGCTTCAAAATATAAAATATTGTTACAGTTGTATAATTCAGCAATTTCATTCAATTGTTGTAAGTCTTTCTTAGTATCCAATTTTGGTTCCTTCTTAGAATGTGGCAATAAAGAGAACAAATCTTGGATCAAATGACGATGTCTAAAGTTAACTCCTCGACTTGATATCAATAAAGTACGTTGCTTATTCATGAATTGCTTTTCATTATGTTGCTTGGTTTCTTTTGAACCTTTCTTATCTTTACCAGACAAAGCTTTGTAAATAGAGGACATCTGTACAATTATCTAGTATCAGTGAGTATTACCAATAGTGTTGACACTTCCTTGAAAATCAGATCTTTTATATATATGACAACTTCTTATTAGTACTTTATTATACTTGATTTGGTTTAATTTTATAAGCTCATCGCATAAAATTTTTCAGATGAGATATATCATTAGATACGTAATAAAAGTTCAATTTCTCGAAATCGATTTCGGTTCTTCCGATGCAGTTACCCTAAGCATTATAGCATTTTCAAAATACGGTAACATAATTATCTCGCTACCAAATGGATCATTAAGTTGCACATATTATCGAAAGATCCAAACACTGCGACGACAGTAATGGTTTTAACCATCCAGTAACTACATAATAAAAGATACAAAAGATTATCAGTATCTAATATACATTCTTCATTCTATTTTTATATATATTTCAATGGTAATGAAATATCTGTGGGACTTGACTCTTTATTGTTAAGTTAGAAACCTGTCATATTTTGTATATCCATTTTCTACCACACTTTACTATATAGAGTCGATATATTTGATAGTATGATGTACTTAAATAGATAATTATTTTACTATGTTAATTGTTATTGATTGTTGATGTCTTACTTCTGGGTTACTTTTTCAAATTTCCTATTACTTTTTTGCATCTGTTTGAAATGGGTCAGTAAGTGATAACATACTTTGGAGGTATACATCACGTGATTTAGATTTCTTCTGCATAATAAAGATGAAACAATGCAACTACACTAATATAAATAGTGGTGGCATTTACTAGTCCCATTAACATTTATAGAACTAATCATAACTAATATAAAGGTAATAATATAGTTTGGAATTGTTAATGCTCTCTAAGTTAAAAATCTTGGATTAAACTGGTCATGGATATAACATAAAATTTAAAATTATATATCACTCTATATACATTAAATATATAAAAATTAAATAAGTATAATATTTATTGAATAATGGCATTTTTTATCATTACCACATAAATCATTAAAATTGAAACTGAAAGGGCATAATCATTTCCAATAGGTTATTCTAGTTAAATTTGGACAAATATTTAATTAATGACATGATCAATCCAAGTTTAAGTCAACTTCAGTCATTCTTTTGGCAAATTCGTTGATGGCAACGACAGCTAACAAATGGTCTTCTTCTTGTCTTAAACCACTGATGGTCAAACAAGCAACTGGGAAGGAAGTGTTGGTTAAATAGATTGGAACAGCACCACCATGGAAAGCATATTCAATAGAGCTAATAAAGAATCTTTCTTCAGGTGTTTTATCAGCCTTCTTAGTACCCATGTACATGGTAGAATGTTGGAATTTAACACAGGTATTTCTCTTTCTTCTCAACCAATCGTCATTTACTGGACTGGTTTCATTATTAATCATAGTACGGAATAAACAATGGTTGTTAGCTAAAGTAATATCAATTGCAACTGAAGCATCAGGATACATTTCCTTAACATTATCCCTTAGGAACATACCCAATTCAAAGGCAACATCACCATCTAATTTTGGCAAAGCACAAGTTTTTTCTTGTGCTTCGATATCTTCTAAGCTAACCTTACGATTAATTAAATCTTTCAATAGTTTAGCATCTAATTGTAACATATTCAAATTTTGATATTTTAATGATAGTGTTATTGTTCTATTAACTGACTAATAATTGATGATGGAAATAGATTGATAGTTAGATAAACTATTTCATCAATTTGAGATAACATTGAGCTATTTATATACAATTGCTATAGCTCAAAAAGGAGATGTGTGGGATATCTTCTATTTTCTCTTGTATTTAACTGTCGAAGAACCGTTCGTTAACAAGGCAAAAAAAACATACGAATCGTGTATTACGGAACTATATAACTACATATAACGTCATTAAAATTATTCATACTATAATGAATGGTTCGATTGCTAATTAAACAATGGTTATTTATCCATACAACGGTTAAACTATTAATCCGTGTCAGTTATAGGATACCATGTCATATTTTAATATGGATAAATCGTGTCCTTGGGAATTCTCTCCAGACTGAAAGGAAATATTTTGTGGAAAAATGTTTCAATGAATGAAAAGAAAAAAAATAATTAGTATGAACTTTTGTAGAAACTTAAAAGTGATTTTGTTGATGGAATGGTCATAGCCATTGAATTACTCTTGTGCAGATAAATAGAATTACCACTTAATCCATTCTAATTTTGCCCGCAATATTAGGTACGCCAAAAAACGATATATTATGGCAACACATATTATAATACCCAAGTAGTGTTGTTTATTTATCACTAGATCGTATGAGTTCAAAACATCTCGACCATCGGAAAATTCACAAGACCCATCTGGTAACATACCACCATCATTACATGTAAGCTCTAAATTATCCGGAAAGGCATAATTGATAATTAATAATGATGTATAGTTCAGCGGATTTAAATAGTTAAATCCTTTTAAAACCCGGTTCAAATTTAACGAAAGTAATCCCGACATTTGAGTACCAATTGATAAAATGATTGAAATACAATTAACGACAAAACCTGGTCTTTGGAAAACGTATTGGTCATTATTCCCAGTGCTTCACCACATGAGGCAATAACTAATGAACAATATGTTGTCACGAAGAAATTACTAGCGGTCCTAGGTAAACCACAGACCAATACCGTAAACACAGCATAGATGAACGATGCAAATAATGATAATGGTAACTCTAATGTCATATATGCAAGGAAAAATGGAGTAACTCCATATACACCATCATCAAACTCAACATAGAAATAATCTCTCTCCAGTGGATAACATGCTAAATTTGCTAACATTCCCACGAAATAAAGAGCTGTTGATTCTTGAGCTAAACCTAATCGATTTGAAACACTAGTGTAATTATGCTTAATAGGAGCCCAGAAAAGGGCAAATATAACACCAAGACCAGGTATTTGCGCGATCCTTGCCATTAGAGAATCAATATTTCTTCTGGTAGTTGTGAACTGACGTTTGACACTAACAATATATGCTGTTAAGATACTACATTGCTTTCTTATTTCAACATCAAGATCGATGCTTGAAACGTCTCTCGATTCTTCAGATATGAAGGATTCTTTTTTAGTATCATTGTCATTTTTATTTCTTTCTTTCCAATTAACCAAGAGTGATTCAACTCTTTCTCTAGAAATACGTTCATTTTCAGAGTTTTGAGTGTTAATAGAAATTAAATCTAAGAAGAAGTCTGCGACATTTGTAAATGGTGGACAATTGTATCCTGCCTTGGCAAAATATTCAATCATTTCATCTGGTGAACCATTAAATGCAGTTCTACCTGACTTGGCAAGTAATAAAACATTACCAAACTTCCTGAACAGTTCAGATCTAGGCTGATGGATAGTTATAATCACAGTCTTATTAAATTCAACACATAACTTTTCTAAAATTTCAAGAATCGTGGCAGAAGTAAAACTATCTAAACCTGATGTCGGTTCATCCAGCAGCAGAATTGGTGGGTCCTTCAATAATTGTATACCCATCGTTACTCTTCTTTTTTCACCACCACTAATACCTTTAACGAATTCATCACCAATAATTGTATTTTGGCAGTGTGTTAAACTCAAAGCACGAATTAATTCATCAATTTTTGATTCTCTTTCATCTTTAGAAAGATAATATAATCTTAGTTCTGCAGCGTAATGGAAAGTTTCTCTTACCGTTAATCTAGGTAAAAGATGACTATCATCTTGTGTTACATAAGAGCTTAGATTTTTGAAAAGCTCATTGGAAACCGGGGTTCTATTTAGTAACAATGATCCTGACTTTGTAAATTTTGACATTAACGAAGATTTTTGTTTACCTGCTATCAAATTAAGTAGTGATGATTTCCCAGAACCAGAGGGTCCCATAATTGCATTTATCATTCCAGGTTTAAATGTTGCATCTATAGAATGTAATATTTCCTTTGATAATCTAGATATTTGTCCCTTCTTCCAATTTTCAAACAATCGTATATAATCCACTTGAAGTGATATTTCTGACAGAGTTACTGTAATCATAGGTTTATTAATATGTGTTGATTCTAAATCATTTTCATTATAAGAATAATCCATGAATTTCTTCACTTTCCAATAAGTTTCTTCAATTTCGATATTTGTTTCTATGGTCTCTGATGATTTTTTCTTCTTCTTTTCCTTTGATTTTATTTCACCTTGCAATGTAATATCTACCTTTTTAACATAAAACATCAACAGTGCAACTGTAGTATACCCAACCGCCCAACATAATAATATACCTCCTGGTAGAGATCTCCAAATTCTTGGGAAGCCGAATGTTTCCAATATCTGATTCCCTATACATTCATCCAGATCATCTGTATAACATCCTTCATTGGCATATGTATTAGATAATAAAGCGCCGAACCCATACCAGGAGAATGAAATGTATTTCGTCCAACGAACATAAACTGGTGAAACTTTTGGATTAACGAAGAAACCAGAACCTAATGAGAGCAAGGTATAACTTAGATTACCTACTAATGATGCCTTGGAGAAATCTCTTGAAATGGCAACAGATAATAGAGCTAAACCAGATGCAGATAATTGGATTAAAAATATTACTGAAAAATGGAAAAAGAATTTTTTGGCATCAGCTTCTAAGCCAAACATGAAATATGTTATACAAACGAATAATAAAGTCATTAATAAATCATCTGTGAAGAAAAGAGAGAATTTTCTAGAAACAACAAAAGACAGAGGTGTCACAGTACCTTCAGCTCTTTCTCTATCATACAATGCAATATCCTGTTCACATAGACGATAAGTATCGAACAGTAGATATAAGTAACTTTGCAAAATAACCGAAGAATATAAACAGGATGTAGTGGTCCTTATACCACTAGCCTCTAATTTATCAGGCTTGTAAAAAATCCACCCTGTAATAGTCCCCATAATTAGGGGCTCAGATATTGTAGCCATTAATGTCACATAATCTCTAAAGTTAAGTTTATAGTTTCTTCTAGTCTGAACCAAAACTTGATTCCAAAATGGCACAGTAGCGGTAAGATTTTTCACTTTGATTACGTTCAGCGATTCTGTCGTACTATAGTTCATTTCATTTAATTGGAAATTCTGCCACTTACTAACTAGTAGTTCTAATCTTTCTTCAGTTATGACCTGTGAGTTATCATTTCTTGAATCAACACTTGACAAGTCGATAAAATAGTCTGCTGGATTCACCAGCTCTGGTAATTTATATCCAATAGACTCAAAATAAGGTATAGTTTGATCCATCCTATTACAATATACAATTTGACCTTTTGATAAGATACAAAGGTAATCTAGCAAAAAAAGAATATCAGAACGAGGTTGATGAATAGACATAATAAAAGTACGCCCACCTTCTTTGGCCAATTTTTTTAATGTTTTAATGACTAAAAATGCTGAATATGCATCCAAACCAGTTGTAGGTTCATCTAGAAACATGATTGAAGGGTTTGCAATCATATGAGTTGCAATATTCAATCTTCTTTTTTCACCACCAGATAATCCTCTATGAGTATTATCACCTACCGCAATGTCTGCACAATCCTTTAAGCCCAATTCATCTATTAATTGACTTGTCAATTGATTATTTGCTTCTTTAGATTGCTGGATTTTCAGCTCTGCAGAATACATCAATGTTTCACGACAAGTTAAACCTGCTGATAAAATATCTTGTTGAGGCACATATGCCATTGATACCGATGAAGTCTCAGTTTCAGTATTATCACTGACAATATTTGGTTCTTGTGAATTATTTGTATTACTATCATTATCCAGAACATATTTAATACTACCTTCATAGGATAAACCACCACTGATTTTAGATGCTAATACATTAAGAAGAGTAGTTTTACCTGACCCTGAACCACCAATTATTGCCATGACTGATCCACTGGGAAGGTCTAATGAAAAATTATTTATTAAAACATTATTTGTCTTAGATGCTGCTATTGTCAGGTCTCGAACTTGTAAACCTACTCTCTTGATACTTGGTAGGGACAAGTCGTTTTCTACCAGCTCTTGTACCATTCTAATTGTCAAATTTTGATATAACCTTTACTTTGAAATTAACAATTCTTCACCAAAACACATTCAAATTAAAAATTTTAAACCATAAAACATAAATTAATTCAATTTACCACTCATATGCTCAATAGATCAAGTAATGGATTGTCATCTACAAGCACTAAAGTTCACTTCAAATATTTATCTATTAAAGTGGTATTTTCGAAATTAGTTAATTTTATATAGTAATTTTAGCGATGCCCAATTTATCATATCTTAAGAAACCAAATAAAGTAATACAAGATAGTGGAATTATTGATCTTACTTTATTAAACTGATAAAACTGGAAGATGATCTTATAATTGTAGTCCTTATATGGAATTATTTTTTTTTATTACAGTACAATCTATATTTACTTAATTATATATATTTAATAGATTTAAGAAACATTCATACCCTTTGTGAACAGAACATTTGCTTAAATTTGTCATATACTTTAATGAATGCCTTTTCAAATCATGATTTATAACAACGAATAATCTCTATGGTAAATGATTGGTTACCTGCAACCTAAGATTACCAGGAAGAGGATAGACGATAAATTCACTATGATATATTTTGTCATCTTATTTATTCACTTTTGTTTTCTTGGGGGGAAGGAAAGGAAGGTAAAGGAAGGGATTATTAGTCAATAGAAATATATTACAAAAGAGATTATGAGATCAAGCACCTCTTCTAATTCTTTTAGATGTTTCTTGATTGAAATCTCTTCTTCTTTTTCTACTTAAATCATCAGAAACCTTACCAGCTCTTCTCAATTTGTTCAATTGCTGTTCATCAACTAGCAGAGAATCTAAATTCAAAGAATCTGGTAAAATAATCGGCCTTATAGTATTACCCCGGATATTTATATATTGTAATGA